GTGTTCCGCGAATTCATCGCCGAGTCCGAGGGTCGCGGTCTTCTGGGACAGCCCCGTCGGTAATTAAGCTGGGTGGCGGGTCCGAAAATTAAGGCCGTATCGGGCCGCAAGCCGACGGTCCGGCCTCAGAGGCTGAGGCCCGCTGAGGCCCATGAGCCAGCATCAAACCTCAGCATCAGCGCTTGAGGCTGGCTCGGTCGGCTCTCCAGCATCGGGCTTCAATGCCCGAAGCCGGCGGCCGGCAGGTTGAGCGCATCAGGCTCGGAGCCGTATGCCCGAACGGCCGCTACCTGGGCATACGGCATTGATGCTGAAGCTACGAGTTGATGCTGTACAGCATAACCTCATGAGGCGCCTCAAATGCCTGTACATAAGTCACATTTGAAAATGAAGTTGAAATGAAATCGGTAGTTCTTTCGAGCTTCTTGTTTCTTGTTAAATATATGTTTTTAATCTTAACCATGTGTACATTTACCTGCTTGGGGAGTGGAGTTTGTTTTGGGTAATGAAATGCATGTCAAGTAATTTTAACCCATTGAAACACAGTCTAACGTCACTTAGGGATAATATCAAGAGAAAAGTAGATACTTATACATTTTTGCTGGAATAACTGTACAAATGGGTGATGGAAACGCGCTATTCATTTGAAGCATTCCAGTTAGGAAGGATGCAGTCTCATATTATTTCTTTAGCCTCTGCCTGTAAATTGATTTTACTTTTTATTTCTAGGACACTAAAACCTGTTACAAGAAGATTGAATCTTATGAATATCCATTTTTTATCGACACTCGAACGGAAGCTGAGAAAATCCGTGATGAGGTGGCCCATCATAGAATAAGACTTGCATACTTGGAACCTTATGTAGATCAAGATATTCCAAAAATTGAACTGTCCACACTTCTAAAATTTGTTGATCGTTGTCAGAGCATTGAAGAGCTGAAGTAAGTATTCTCATTCTTTGTGTACATTTTCAATTTCAATTTTGAATAGAAAGAAACAAGATTCATAGAGGGGGAAGACACACAGACTCTACTTCTGGTGTAAATCTAGGTCTTTTATATAACTACTCAGTTTAGAAAAGTATCTAACAGTAAAACCATGCTAAATCGTTTAGGATTGTAACCATGAAAGTTTTTCTGACTTCAATGGGTTCCTTCTTTTTCTTCTTTGCATTCTCAAATTCAGCACTCTGTTTTGGCAACATCACTGCTTCTAAGTACAATATGTTTTTGAAAAACCCCAATAGCTTCTGAAGTAAGAAAATAGCCATTGAATTCAATTCAGCATTTAAGAAGATGCCATTTCCAAAAATTAGAGTGTCAGAAATAGTCATCGGAACTGCAACAGTGTGTGAGTTAATTTGGAGGTGCATGCATGTGAGTAACTGCTTAGACTACGAGAGAAAAGAGTAGCTGGCATATGCAGTCTGCATAGTATTCAAAGAGGAAGGGGCCGGTGCCAGCTAAGCCTAGTCCAGATAATTAAGCTTTTCATCGTAATGTTTCAAACTACACTATTTTGAACTGATTTAAGCTGAGCTAAATCTGATTCGTCAATTTAGTTTTGCAACAGTTCAATCAATGCTCCAAGGTCTAAATCGGGCCGCAGGTATAGTTCTCTCCTTACGCATGGCTTTCATGGCTTACTTGCTGACAGAGTGAGCCTGATACAAACTTTTCCTAGAGGAAAATTATGAGTTGTTTCTATCAGTGAATGTCTCAAAAATCAAGGTGAGCGCATTGGCAAAGTTTGAAATACACTCCTAACTGAACAATCTGCCTAAGAAATTTGCGTTTTTTTTAGCTTCCCGCTTCAAAAACGATACTATGGCACAGGTGAAAATTTTGTTAGAGGAGTCGTTCCATTCAACCCTTTCACAATAGCAATACCCAATATGACCGACGATTCCGCGCACACAAATCGCAATTGGGAGCACCAGGTCAACCGGAGCAGATTTTTATCAATGCGAAGAAATCAGGAACGTAAAAACGCTGGGTCGTTAACTAATGGTTAGAATCTCATCCAGGCACATTCGTTTTGGCGTATCGGTATCGGCCATGTTGAATATTGCGTAGTATCCTAGTGCACAGGGGTTGGATAGAACGACACCTCTAACGAAATATTCACCTGCGCCGTAGTATCGTTTTTGAAGTGGGAAGCTCAAAGAAACTGCAAATTTCCTACGCAGATTGTGAAGTTAGGAGTGCGTTTCAAACTTTGCCAATGCGCTTATCATGATTTTTCAGACATTTACTGATAGAAACAACTATTATTTTTGCTCTAGCAAAAGTTTGCAACAGGCCCATTGGGGAGTGTCCTCTGAGGGTTCATGAGAAAATCTCATTTTCTGATGTAGTATATCAGTCCGTCCTTCAGTCATGGAAATGGAAAACAATGTTTCAAGAATCCTATTTTAATGCATCAGACTCTGCCTCTTTACTCCTCTTTTCATATTTCCTTGTTCATAAAAGTATATGCTTATCTGTAACTTTTTGTCTTTTTTATCTTTATTTCAAGAACCATCCTAGAATCTTTTGGAACTGTCATAGAGGAAAATGAAAATGGTGATCTTTGTGTCGTCGGGATGGATGATGATTCAAGTGAAGAGGAAGAAGGATACCTAACAGGTGATGCTGATACAGAGAATGCATATTCTGATTGGGGCACATTCAAGGCCAATGAGTGGCCTACATCCCCGGCCTGGGATGCAACGGCAGTCACCGATGCAGACTGGGATGCTTGGGATGAGCCAGCTCCTTCTCAAAGTCGTCTTTCATCTCCAAATGAACACATATCGAGGGAACTCAAAGTTTCTGCTGTCCTAGAGACCAGTCACATGGAAATAGTAGAGACAAATTCTCAGACATTGACCAGACAAAATCGTGATCTTGAAGAATTTCACCATTTGAGTGATAAGTCTCTCACATCAGACCATGAAAAAGACTGCGCTGGAACAAAACTCAGTGAACTTGAAGTTTCTTCAGTTCCTCAGATTGACCACATTGAAAGAGAAGAGAGCAATCTTAATAATCTAACGGGAGAAAACTTGAGTCTCCAAATATTCCATCAAATAAATAATGCATCTGATACATTACAAAATGAAAGAAATCCTCCAGAAAAGAAGTGTGATGAACTAGTGATTTCTCCAGTTTGTGAGCAGAACTGTACCAACAAGGGAGAAACCAAGACTCCTTCGTTGTCTCAAGATGAGTCTCAGTTTCAGAAAAGCAATGAACTGCATGTGTCCAATACTTCGCAACTTGAGGGGAATAGTACAAAAACAAAACCGCCCGTGCTATTGATTGATCTTGCTCATGGTGAAGTTGAATTGACATGTGATTTGGCCAATGGCAATCAAGCAAATTCTTCTACAGCAGGAAGTGATGAAAATATGAGTACTTCTGAAGGTGTATGGGTGATATCTGAGGAACTCAAGAACAGTAAACCCCACCGAAGAAAGTACAGAAAATATAAAAAAAGGAAAAGCTTTGAATCCGGAGGATGTGAAAACACGGATTCAAACTTCTCTGATGCAAATTTTCAAAGAAAAAAAAATACTCGCTCCAAAAGAGGGTCCCTGCAAGGTAGGAGCTCACATGTGCCCAATGTGTCACAAGAGCAGTTGAAGTCAATAACTTCAGAGTTGAATGATAAAATTCCTTACGTTTCAACAGTCAATTCATTCTCAAGCAGGGAAGTAACAAGTGTTGACTTAAAGAATGGAAACGAGAGGGATTGTAAAGGTGAACCAAGCTCTAAATCATCCCCTCCTGACCGTAGTGAAAAGAATTTGACCACAGCCATTGATGATAGTGTCAATAACAGACCTCTCAGGTCAAAGCCAGGAAGAGGAGGGAAGAGAGGTGGTAAGAGGAGGCCATTTAATACCTCGGAGATGACTTCCTTAGCCAGTTCAACTTGCCAACCGTCCATTGACGCTGTTAAGAATAATAAGACTCTTAATAACAATTCTAATCAAATGACTTACAATACAACTACCATTCCTGCACATGAAATACAGTCAACCGTTAACTACAATCAACCAGTAGCGTATCAGAATAAATTTTCTCGCATTAATTCAAATCGAGCCACTAAAAAAATGAGAAATAACACCGGCATTCTCTTGCCAAAGAAATTGAACCAAGATTGTAATTTTTCCAAAATTGGTAACCAAAATGCATGTAAGAATCCGGCTAATGGAAATCCTTTCATGAGTACCTTTATGAAACTTTGTGATGAAACTAGTGATTCTCATGGCAGAACAAGCCAAGATTGCTCAAAGTCTGAAAAAAATATTCATGTTGCCTCGTTGTAGTTGTCGCTATGTAAATGCTGAGAACGTTTGCTTCTAATTTTGGCAAAGACTCAACCAAGTGTGACACCAGAGCACACTAGTTTTTGCATTATAAGCTACCTCTTTATTAAAACTCAATGAACTGTGATAGTATACAATTCATAGAAGTAGGGTGTTTTGTGAGAGTTTGAGTAGACCATAACAATATATTTTACTAATTTCGAGGCGCGGAACAATGCTCAACCATTTAAAGTAAACAAGGCTGCCTTTTTTGTATTTTAGATTCGTAATGTTTTCACTTTTAAGGGTTTACAGGGGTCTCTGTCCCTATTCTTGTGACTCAGTACAAAGTAGCCTAATACCTTAGTAGATAATGCTCTCCAGAGTTAACCATGTTTTTACATGTTGGTTTTTTTATGTTCTCATAATCTATTTGTCTCATTCTCATTGATGTGTTCCTTTTTTAAGTGGTAAAAAATTCTATGTATAAGTTAAAACCTTCTAATATTCTACTTTCTTAAAAATTAGTTCTAAATTATATAGCTTTCAGCAAGAAATATTTCTTGTGTGTGCCTAAATTTTAATTGTCTTTTTGTAGTTATTATTGATTTCATTATTATTTATTATTATTATTATCATCATACATTATGCTTAGTTTTTGTATTTTTCTCTACAACATTCTCTTATCAAATTTAATTACTATGTCAATCAGAGTTTTTAAGTCACCATTTCCTTCCAGTTTTAAGTGAAAATAGTCTTACTTTTGTGCTCCTTTTCAGGAGGTGTAGGTCTATATCTAATTACCTCCCCCCCCCCCCCCTCTCATTTTTTTTCTTTTTAGCGTTAGTTTATTTTTAAGTAACAGTTTGTATTTCTGTCCATTTCTGTTTTTTTTTTTTTTGCACTTATTCCAATTTTCATCAGATTTCTCTCTTATTTAAAAGTCGTCCTCTGTTGCACGTTCAGTTCTCATTTGTCTATCAGCATGTTATCTTTATCTGCCAACTGCAATGAATTTAAGATTCTGCAATCAGGATTAATGCTCATCTGTAACTGATAATTTTGTAACCGTGCTATTTATTTGTTATATTATGTGTTCTTTTTATTTTTAAAATTTACTCCGTTCCGATTGAAAAATTCACAGCTGAATCCATATTATACATCATTACTTTCATGGCAATCCCCTTTAGAAAACTGTGATTAATGGCACATAAATTACTGACAAATTTTCCGAAAATAATTCTAATTGTTCAGTCCACTCTTTCTGTTTCAACTCTCAGTTCACTGGTCAGAATCATCACAGCACCATATTTTCATTTTTTAATCATCAAAATTGATCTTTGGCCTTATGGGCCTGTGACCGACCAGGGAAAGAGTTTTTCATACTTGTTGAAACAGAATTTTCCTCTTATTAGGTTTGTATTATTATTCTTTTATATTTATGGCGCACATCATTAGCTTAAGAGTTTTAAGCCATTTTTTGGGTAAAAAATCCTTCTTATTATGAAGGGTTTTTTCTTGTCTTTCTTTTTAGTCAATAATTGTAAGCACCAGTATGTTTTTAAGTTAGTTATTTTTCTCTTCTGCTAAAGTGGTGGTAGGATGAATTTTTTGATTGGTGCCTCTGTAAAATCGATTGTTATAGTTTTTTTTTCTTCTCATTGTCATTGTCACATTAATCTTTCGGATGTGGATGATGTGTCCTGAAGTTTTGAAACTATAAATTTAGAAGAAAGGAGTCAATGCAACTTTTGGACTGTTGTTTTATATCACCTAGTAGTATGTACCTATCCTATTCAAACACAAGAAGAAGAACAAATTATTGCAATATTTTTATTTTACACCTCCGTACTTTCCTTTTAACACATTTGTGTCGTTAGTCATAGTTTGCCTTTGTTCATCAATTTTTCCACCCAATTGTGTCCTAGCTTCCCTAGTTTTTTCTCATTTGTTTCATTTCCATATTGTTTAGTGAGTCTTTTTCCTTTTTTGTTTAGTTTGTATTTCATTTCAAATTTTGTTTATCATTTTCAGTACAGTTTTTTTTACTAAAATTCATCGATTTCTTAAATTTTTCCCTCACATGTTCGAACTACATGCATTATTCCAGTCTTTAAACACATTTATGTTTGATGAACTTAAAGTGGATCCGAAATTTTAAGAATACTTCAATCTAGAATCTCTAGATTTGTTGGTATGAGATCATTAATCCTCCATTGAACCACCATCACCATGTTGACCTCGCAAAATAACTAAATTCTATAAAAATATTTTTTTTTGCAGTAATAATGACAAAATCTTGTAATACTTATATCCTTGGAAACAGCATCCCAGATAGGACTTGTATCCAGAGAATGTTCCATGAATATTTGTGGGAGAAAATATCCATTGAATATTTGTGGGAGAAAATATCCATTGAATATTCATGGAATATTCGCTGGTACTCTACAAGCATTCATGGAATATTCGCTGGTACTCTACAAGCATTCATGGAATATTTAATTAACCATATAACTTATGTATTGAATATTCGTTGAATGTTCAGTCGGAAATTCCACCTAAAATCTGGAGCTAATTTTCGGAGAAAGTACAAATGCCTATCTAAGTATCCCACCAAAGAGAAAAAAAAAGATGGAATGAAAAGAGAATGATGGCCCATTTAACTGTACTGCCCATTTCGTAAATCAAAAAATCTTCATTCGCTGGGAGCAACAGCCTTAAAAGGGCACTTTAGTGGTCTCAAGCAATTGATATTCTACACGAAAAACAAAAGGAACTTTATAGGATTATAAAAAAATTGTCTGATAAGCCTTGAAACGAAAAGTAAAATGCTAGCAGTAATTAGGTAGTATATCGATGGTGAAACTATCAAACCGCGTACATCTCGTTTGTGCCGGTTTTTAAAAATCTCCGCTCCTATTTCATTTTTTTTGTACGAGAATAAATCAATATCATCTCTTGAAATTTTCGCAGAGTTTTTTTCGCACAGAGAAGGACAAGCACGGAAGTTTTCATGGTTTGACTTGGAAAAGTTTTCCTTTTGAAAAAATAAAGTACCCATGACAGGAGGTCTTCAATGTTGCAAACCAAGAGACGTGGTCTAGTAATTTCACCGTCGATATGCAGGCATTTAGTTACTCTCTATCTTTCTCAAATATATAAAATCCATATCACGACTTGCTACATGTGAAATACGTTTTCTGCATAAAAAACTGGACTTTCCTACTTACGCCCCCTTTGGTGGGCAGGAACACAATTTTGAAATTCGCGGCAACTTTTTCAAACCTCGCATTGAGTGTTGCCTAGTGTTGTCCTGTAGCAGCTAATTTTTTCTAATTTTTTCTTTTTATTTCTTTCCTTCCAGCCTTTCTATTCCTTTCCTTAAATTAGTTAATAAATTTAGTTTTTTATATCTTTCTATAGTGGAAAATACAATGAGTATCGTTATTTCGAGAGGGATGCGTAATTCAGGACAAAAATGTGTTATTTGGAAATTACCTACTCACCGGCAACCATGTTCAATATCGGTAACGTATTTTCGGCCCCGTGTTTACATTATTTGACAAATTGTCAGCTAAGTTATGCTGGACGTGTTTTCCTTTTCATAATCAGCTAATCAGTAATCAGCCTCAGCACCGCAGGTATGCATTTCCCTTATCATCTTTTAAACTTATTATCTCTGTACGTTGCGTTTACCACAGCTTACCGCGAATGTTAACAAAGCCCTGCTGACTTGTTTTCAGAGTTCGAGCTGAGTGCCAGCTTACCTACCATCATAGTGCTCAGGCAGTTCATATGGGTACTTACTTCTCCTCCAGATTTTAGTTTGGTATGTATTAGCTTTAGCATCTCTCTTCCACAGTTGAAGGAAAATGATCAAAATCGAATTCCTTTTTTGAGGGTATATATCATTGGCTGCTAGTATACATACATAAAGCCGCTTTTCTAGCGCAGCCTCTCGCTCTGCAACGCCCAATCGCCATTGCCCCCTATCCTCCCAGAGATCATCAAGCAATTGATACCTTCTGATCTCCTCCTCCACCCCTTGTCGCCAACCTTTCGCAGGACGTCCTTGTTGTCGCCTTCCGGGAGGAACCCAATTGAAAACTTGCTCGTAATGGAAAACAAGCTGCTGGTATTCCAAATTACGTTTTTGAACTTTCGAATAGGGACTTGGTCTGTAGCTGCCTCCATGCAGCCTACTTGTCCTTCATCAGAATTTGATACAGTTCACTCCGAACTGCATTGCCTATTCTTTTTTTTTAAGATTTGCAATTTTTGATGAAACATCTGATTTAGTTTAGTTTGTAAGCTAACTGACATCTTGTTTGAAGTGACCATTCACATCTCTTGGTTGCTGCTGCTGCAAGTGATGCAATCTCCTAAGACTACGAATACTCTAGGGGGTTTTCGATACTTAACCAATACTTCTAAAGTATCGATACTCGCAGATATCGATACCGTGTGGTATCGATCCTCAGGGTTCTCAAAATAATTACTTTTGTCCTAAATGTTAAAAGCTCGGTTTGATAACAGTGATAAAGAGTTCATAATAGTTGACTAAGCACGCTGTAGTGTTCCTACCTGCACAAAAAGTATGGTGCCATGACATGTTTCTTCTTTATATCTATCTCTATTCATTAGCCTAGTGCCTGGCTCACCATTTCATCTGCCATCTTTCCCTTTTAGCACCTTTTTACCTTTTCAACCCTGCGCCAGGCGGCACCCTTGTCTACGACACAGCGACCTTGCGAACAACCGTTAGCCAGGCACGGATTGTCTCTTACCTTTTTCTTCACATACTTTCCCTACCTTTTTCTGTGCCATCTTTCACCTCATGATGATGATCATCCCCTTGGCCAGAGAGCAGCCAGGACACTCTGATTTCGGCCATCGCTTGGGCCACCACGCCGGGTTCGCGACGCCCTCACATAGCGGTTAGATTTAGTGTCACCTCACTGTACTTTTTATTGACCTATATACATTTGTTTGTTCACACGAGATCCGCTGTTTCTCATATCCTCCACGGACCACCAAACACTGGCGCAGTCCAGTACGCAACAACGCAAGTAAAGGCGGTTTCAAGAGAAGCGTAAATATCTCAAAATTAAACCATCGAACGGCTGATAGACTTATACTCACACTCCGAATTACGGCATAATTTAGAAATAGTATCGATGGTATCGGTACTTCGTCACCTTCCAGGCAAAGTATCACAAGCGCCATGCGACGTTTAAAAATTTCCGCCGCCATTTTATTTTTTTACTGAGAAATTGTTGGTTGAATCTGTTTGGAAATTTCACTAAATTTTATCGGCAGCACAAAGAAAATTCAGTGAAATTTTCGGACAGCTTCGTTGAACAATTTCTCTGTAAAAAAATAAAATGGCGGCGGAAATTTTTAAACGTCGCATGGCGCTTGTGATACTTTGCCTGGAAGGTGACGACTTCAGCTCTATGCTCGATACTAGTATCAATGCTTAGTGTCAATATCAGTAGCAATACCAAGTATCGATACTGATTCCGAGTATCGATACTTCCCATAGTATCGACATCCCTAATATACTTAGTCCTGCTCAAATGAAAGAGAATACAAGAGCAGCAATTTGAATTGCAGGGCGAGTGACACTTTTACAATATGTCTCTGATTGGCTGATGCGCCTGGGGCCCTTATGGAAAATAACACGGGGTTCATTTTTCGTCGAAAATATCTTGAAAACAAGAAAAATTTTATGCACCAGAGATTTCAGAAATCAATTCTCCAGATTTTTCTGAAGAGATTGATTGGTATTTATAATTTTCAGAGGTCCATGATTCTACCTATTATACATAGTTACTTAAAAAGTCCTTGGAAGTCCCTGATTTTGGTTTTGGAAACCTATTAGGAATTCTGATGGAGGGAATTAACATTCTTCTCGGCAAGATTGTTGTAGTGGCTTCCATTTACTTACTGTAACATGTATTTTCTGATAAATAAATAAATCTTAAAATTTAAAATGTAAATCTTATTTCAATAAGCCAATCAAGCCTAATTTTATAGTTACTTTGAGTTGCTGGCTCATGAAAAGTTCTAACTGATGTTATTGAGCTAAAAATGGAGTTTAGGAGCTCGAAATTCCTTTGAAACAAATTTTATTCAAATTCATCAATTTAAAAAAAAAAAATTGCTCATCCTTTTCATTGATCAGAGATAATTGATGAACAATGATTCTGAGTGATTGAAACACTTTTTGTTCGTTCAATCATTCATTTCCATGAATTAACTATAATATTCATTTTATGAAAATGGCAGTGCTATTCCAATATATGCCAGCCTCATTTCAACTGAGCATGTTCAACGGAATAGAAGGGAAACAAATAAATTTTTCTTTTAAAAAAAAATACAAAATTAGACATGCTTTTCATTTTGTACCGCTAAGTATGACGGCACATGATTACTGAATACTCAATACTCTCCTCAATTTTTGCTTTGATTTTTTAGTAATTTTCTTTCTTTCAAATTTTTTTTACCCACAGTTTATCCGGCATCAAAATGTTTGCACCGAATCTTTACCACAAAAAATTGCAAAAGCGTATTTATAAATTGTTGAAGAAGAACCGCCGCATTTGTGTTGCCATCAAGCAAATAGTAAAAGGTAAGCCTAGGAACTCCATCTCTTTTTTTTCCATTGGCTGCCGGCCAATATGAAGTGATCACTAAATATCACAATGCTGAACTGCTGAAATTCTAATCTCCAAGGCAAATCATGTGAGGCACATAGAGGAGAGACACTATCACGGCCCAATACCAGCAAATATCTTCCTATTAAACCACACAGAATGTGTGTGTATGAGTGTGTGATATTGAGCTTTTTCCACTGGGCACGTTCAGTCTCATGATAGTCTTCTGTTGCTGTATGGATTGCCACCATTAGCACAGTCCCCAAAAAACTTTTGTCTAGTGAGTCACGACCACAAGGATGCCTTATGCTCCAAGTTGCATTATGAAATTCAAAGAATGTGGTGTGTTGCTCCTAAATCTTGCAAATTCCCAGGAAGTGGATTGTGGAAAAGATATCTGGACAGGCAGGAATGGCGCGGAGCACAAGATATTTTGGATTGAGAAGAAGGGGAGTGCTGTGGTTAAAAGTCACCGCCCATTGGTGTCACAGACCAGATTTTACAGAATTTCAGTCAAATTTTGTTACACTCGTGCAGGTGGCTGTGTTATTCTGTTTTATAAAACTTTTTCCATGATTTATGTATCTTAGTTTGATTTCTACTTATTTTTTGTTTTTACATTATGTTCAAAACATTCAAATTTATATGATGGGTCAGTGGCACCCATTTTTTCAAATTCATTTTCTGGAAGTACGGAGTGAACTAAGCTTCCAAGAATTTTTTCAGATTTTTTTTCACTCCCAAGTGGCAAAGAAACCCTGTTTTGAAAATGCCAAAAATAGGACCAGTTAAAACTGATATTTTTGGTGAGCTCTCATGATGTAATCTGGCGAGGGAAAGGGTGTTGCTGATTGGTTGAATTCAGCTGCAGGCATCACATTACCACATCAACTCGACTGTCTGCGATGATTGGTCAGATTTCGATTAGCTCTTCCTGTTCTTATAAATAATTTTTTTAACTGCTTAATGAACCCTTTGGTTTTTACACCAAATATTACACAAAGAAGCTTCTTTACAATCCTGCAAAAATTCCTTGCCACTGTTCCGTTCCTAATGTATTTTATTTTTTAAATTTAATTTTGTCTCATCTAAATTTTTTTCCATTTACTTGTTACCTTTTGTTTCATTTTATTTTTTTAAATTCATTATAACATAAACGGTCTTTTCAATTTTATAACCCCGCCCAAGATGGCTCTACCTACCTAAATTTTTTCCCTTAGATTTAAGCTTGCTATTTGCTGAAAAAATGTATAATATTCTCAAACATTAAAGCAGAAGGTTACAGGAACTTACACTTTCGAAAGTAGCATGTATTAGAAAACTTCCGTCAAATAAAGGCTTTTTCCAGACCTCACCACTATTTCAGTCCTGACTTAGAATCATTGTTTCCTTTTTTCAGAAGATCGTGATTTACACCAGAAAAATGAAAATCTTGTCAAAGAATTGCAAAAGGAGCGCCTTAGGAGCCAAACACTCCATGCTGATTTGACCTACTTGCAATTGGAAAATCTCCAATACATGAATACTGTTGGTGCCATTCGTGCAGCTCAGTCATCCCTCGGATCTGAAATTCCAAAATTAGAAAATCGAGTACGAGATTTGATCACTGATTTGATAAATGCAAGCAGTCATTTGGGCCCATTGCAAAATTCTGTTGGTATAATCAGACATCTAACTTTAGATCTTCAAGGTCAGGAAAACAGCAACAATTCCATCAGCTCACCTGCCCCTCCACGATACGTCAATGCAATGGGTCAAAAAAGAATGAATTTAGACATTTTTCCCAAAAATAACGGTGTAGCTCTTAACCCCATCGAAGAGGTTTCCCAAGAAATTTCGGTAAGTTCAAGTCAGTTCTTGTGGTAATTTTGTACACCAGCTTTTGACTTTCAACAAATCAACAAAGGGTAAAAAGATTTTTATAACGGGGAAGCCAACTTTTGGCCATTTTTTAAAAATCTCACCACTTTCTAGCTCAAACTCTTCGATGCCAAGTTGAAATTCGAATTTGCTGAAAAGCAAATCCACAAATGATCGATTTTTTTTTTATTTTATGGTCTTAATTTCAAAAGGCAGATTTGATGAAAAAATTTGGAAAGTATGGTACCGAGATCAGAAAAAGGCGGGAACATTTTGGATCTTAATTGTTGGTAGGTAGAAGAAGATATTAAAACATGTCTGACTGAGAGGGGTACATTACAAGAGAGGCAGTTGGAGGGGAACTTCTGTTGTCTGATATGCATGTATGTATGTATTGTACGCACGTATATATTTCAGGCAACATTACGTTTTTTCAGTTTTTAGAACTTGGTACGTTAGTTAATTTTTGAGTTTCTTGAAGCAAAACTCATAGAGTTTGTAGTCCCCCAAAATTACTTTTAAATTGTAAAATAAAAATTGAAATAAGAATGTTTATTAGTTTTAGTACTGCGAAGGACCAAAGTGGGGGAGGTTTAATTTTGTCCGCGAGATAACTCAAGAAATTCTCTGATATGGAATGCTCTAACAGAAGATCAGACCCTTGATTTCTCCCAGATTGGTTACCTTTTTGCTGAATGCCTCCTGTATGTGATGTTATTAACATTTGTTGTACATAATTTTAAGTGTTTTTTTATTTTTTTAACATCATGTCATTACTCATTTTTCAGACCACTTCTCCGCAAGTGAGTGCTAAAAAGGCTCCTCGCTATGAAAGGAAATGCAAGAAAGGCCTCAGGCATCTTGTCAGTACAAGTATGTATTGTATTTTCTCTGTATTTTAATACTTTTCATGGTAGTATGTTTTCATGTATTCCTACCTTTGGGCCCGAAGGAATGCATTGAAAGAAACTGTAGAACCAAGATCAAAAAATGTTCTAGCCCTTTCCATAAAATTGTCTTCAGTTGTATTATATAGGTACATCCTCTTATACTGAGATCAGTATTATTACATTATTATATGAATGACGCTAAGTAGAAAGAAACTGAGCTACATCAAATATTGCCAAATTTAATTAGTGTATTTTCTGAAGAAAATACACTGTTGCATTCTCCCATGGTGTCGGACCCAGACCTGAGACATTGTGAAGAGCACCGATCACAGGTCGTAGATCACAAAAATATATGCCATTCAAATTTATGTGTGAATATCTATATGGTTGGTTGGTAGATACGTTTATTTGGTGCTTTTAACATTTGAGCCATTAACACCTTAGAGGAGAGATCAAAATACAGAATTCAAAAAGTAGGGGTCACAAAAGGGTAGTACAAAATCAAAGGTTAGGACAAGGAAAGAGAACATTAAATTTGGAGATTAATTCGTTTGAAAAAGAGAGGGATTTCACGAAAATACTTTGAAAGGATGGTATGGAGATCAGAAAGTGGAGGGAAAATTTCGGATCTTATGTATGTATGTATGCATGTATGTGTGAATACCAAACTTCTGAAACTCTTTGCCTCTCTTAATTTGAAAATCTAAATTTTTGTATACACACCCATTTTCCAAATTTTTTGTAAAGACTGTAATAACCTATCATGCTGAATTTCTTTAAATAAATTAACTAACTAACTGACGAACTATTAAGTAAGTAAGTTAGCAAAGTAAAAAAGACCGGGCTCATGGGCGAGGCGCCCTCAAGGGGCCAAGGCAACTGGGAGGAACCCTGCCATTGTGCACCTCGAAGTTGGACCGTGCTCCTTAACCTCAAATCATTGACACATTGTGTATCCGCTATATTCCCGCAAGGCTCAGCGGCCGTTTGATAGCCAACGGTAGGTCTTATCAAAGACTGTGGCAGACGCTTCAGAGCACGGATTTTCGGAGCACAGCCATGCCTCCACCGAGTAGGACTGTGTTGTTGCAATCTCCACTGATAGGTAGCGCTGGCAGTCGCGCACACTACCAGTGATCACCGATTTTCTTCACAACCCAGTCGAACAGTGCAGACATATAACTAACTAACTATATGTATGTTTTTCCGCCTTTTTAAGATTTTTCGATTTTTGAGTAGTTATATCTTTCTTATGTTTGCATTTAGTAGAGACTCATTAGATCTACTATTCTGCTAAAAAAAAATGAAATTTGAGGCAATAGATTTTGAGGGGTAGGGCTTGAAAGTAGGGGGAAGTCAAATTTTGTCCACTCAATAACTCAAGTTAAAACGAATATTTTGAGCTGAAATTTTTAAGGGTGATAGTTTGCCCCTAGGACCGGTTTGGTATTGAATATTTTTTTTACATGAAAACGGTCGAGTGGATTTTTGTGCAAATTTCAGTAAGTTTTCTGCATGGCACGAAGCAAATTGCTTAACATTTTTTTATAGGAATCTGCAGAAATGTTCTCTCATATAATATTAAATCGTTTAGTTAAATTTGGCAGTAGCTGATGTGACTTGGTTCTTTTCTGCTATAGGTGGTCCACGTAGTCTTCAGTTTTGAGTTGATTTGCCAACATCAGTTTGCCAGTTTCTGCCGCATCAGCTCAACATGGCGCTGCAGAAACATTGTGTTGTTGGGCTCTTTGAGCTTGAAGGGGTGCAAGACACTTAAACTTCAAGTATCCACTTGTCTTTCGAGCGTTTATAGATGTTAAAAGATAATTGAAAGCGGAGGCAGACCCACCGTCATCTAGAAGGGAAGTCCCTCATAAGCTGATTGCTATCATAGTGCTAATTTTTCTGAGAATTCACAACTCAGATAAAGAACGATGCAAATGGAACCATCTCAAATAAATGTGCATAGTTAAGTAGATCTCTGACTCATTTTAAGTATTTTTTATTTTTCTTTTCAGGAACAAGTTTTAGAAGGAGAAGTTCGGAAATATCCAAAGAGCCTAGTGATCAAAGCAATGTCTGTTTGTCAAACACCAACAACGATGAAGAAGAAGACAGAGTAGTGTCAAATACCAACAACGATGAAGAAGGAGACAGAGTAGAGAATTTTAAGTCCCCACAGTCTGTGCACTGCGAGGAAAATTCACCCAAACGCTCTAACAAATCAGACTCCGGAAGTTCAATGGAGTTGACTCCAAAAGTTGGAAATGCAGGTGTCAGTGAAGATAGCACTACACCTCAAAGTGAAGAGAGTCCATTGAGGTCTTCCAGGAACTCATCATCAACCCTGAATCCCTCTTCGACTCCAAGGAAATATAGTGATGTTTTGAAAAGTGCTGAAAAACGCGATGATGGAATTTCCCCTGTTTCAAGAAGTAGCAATTTAGAATCAGAACCTCAACAGGAGCTTTCATTTTCATTACCATACAGTGATATTGAATCCACACTGCAGAGGATAACTGTCAGAAGAGGCGCTAGCCATCGTAAAGTCTTGAGAGCAGAACCCTCTTTCAGTGGCAGCTATATCCCTTACAGCTCAACAGAAACACCTGGAAATATTGTCTGTAAGACAGAACCGATAGATGAGTTAGAATATAGTGATGTCTCAAAGTCTGCCAAGTCTCGTAGTGTTAAAGATACCTTCAGTTTCTATGCTTTCGAACCGTCTAGTACCTTAAAAGCAGTTGAAGATAATGACGAAAATTTTACGCCGATAGTCAACAAGGGGAAGAAGATGAAAAAGACTAGAAAACCGAAATCAACCTCAAGTAGTTGTTCTATGAATAGAACCTCCCTTATGTCTGCTAATGAAGTTAATATCGCAGCTAATTTGTATAATTCAACTCCAATTGAATCATCTAAACCTCAACATATAAAAAGAAAACCACTAGCAACACTAGCCTCATCAACGCGAATTGGATCAAATGATTCAGCTGTGTCTCAAGGATCCAACTTTATAAATTCTGATTCAGTATTGTCTCCCATCTTGAAGTCAAGCACTGACCAAAGCACCCACAATGTCACCCTTGTTCACAGTAGCTCAGAGAATAGTGGTAAGAGGACTTAATTTTTTTTATTAATATCTCCTTTATGATGTCATGTTTTTTTAAAAAGAGTGTACATATTTAAAAAAAATTTGAAATATTCTAGAAAATGGCATTATATTTTAACCCTGTTCCGAGGGTTGAACTTTTTTTTTTTAATCGGATGAATTAAAGGTCGCATGAACTTAAATGACGGCATATGATAAAAAACATTGTAGTCCAAAGATTTTAAAACAACAATTATTTTTACTTAGCGCGTGCTTCGCGTGAAGTTTGAGATTTTTGGCTATTCTTAGCAATTTTAATTAGGTCATTGCTGTCGAAAATCTACCAATTGGAGAAAAGGTAATTAATATTTTGAAGAGTAACAAGATGTCTACCTGTGGCACTACCTGGAAAGTCCAGAAATGATACTGATTTTTTGAGGACAGTCCGATAGCACTGAAAAAGTACAAAAATTCCGCAAGAAGGTCCGTAATTTTTTGCTTCACACAACGCGTGGTTTTTAGAACAGCCTGGAAAGAATACAATCCCTTGCACATTGATTCTTGGAGCAGCATTTGCTTGCGAGATCGTGATTAGGCTATCAGTTGTACTTCAGACCACCATTGGAATTTTGTGGCCATATAATTTTTACCGAGATTCCAGCATGAACTATAGTAGGCAATCTGATGAAAGATAACCAGGTACCTACTTAACTTTCCTTTTGCTGTTAGTCTCAGAGATAACGCTCAAAACTTAGTAAGGCACTTAAGTATTGCACTTAAGCTGGAGTTGACCCTTTGAAATTTTTGGGCTCCGGAAGCTGTCAATTTGTTATATAAAATTTTGACATTCCAGAGCTCTTTTGCAGAATCGACAAAATAGAGGTCCAATAGTTTTGAAGAAAGAAACTCTTGGGCAATATCCAGGCGGGACACTACAAGACCTCCCTTCATAAACCTCCTCTTATAGATCTAATCTGAAGAAGATAATCTTACCGCTTTCAAGATTGTTCAGTTTCGTGATATTTTGCAGTCTTATTTCTTGAGACATAACTCTAATCTTCTCTGATGATATTTTAATCTTTTATGTCAGAAAAAGGACAAATATTTTTTGGAATAGATAAAATGCTCGGTCATTAATTTTCAAAATTCATAGATTGTAAGTCCAGCCACCAGGATTTGGTCTCCATAAAAGTTTGGTTTCGAGAATTCCTGATACGTGCTTCCATTCAGGGATGAAAAAATAGCTGTTTCCACTGGAATTGTAATTCCTCATAAATGCTTAGTAGTCATTTGGCAGATTATGGAACATTTTTGTAATCTTATGATCTTATGATTTTACGAATTGTTTTCTCTCATTTTCATGTATTAAAAATTAATTGTGAAAAATCATAAGTACTGAGAGTGGTGATTTTGCTTTAACATTGGCCCCAGTATCCATTGAAACGATAGAAACGAACCAACCAGAAGTCAGCTTGAGGGCCTTTTATTAAATTTTAAGTCCGAGACTGATTGTTGAAATGCAGAGAGTCACAAAGTACAGATAAGAATTCAGAAGCACACTTGTTCAGCTAAACCTAGGTTTTTTCTATGTACACTGTGGCTGTTTGTCAACAGTTGGTATTCTGTTCAGCTGTAATTCTTTCATTGTAATACTTTTTCATCTTTTTTTACCCTGGTTGGTATGTTTGGTAAACAGTTACAACTCCTTTAAAAATTTTTCAGGCTCCCAAAATGACTCTAGTCAAGGAAGGCCTAGGAGAAACGCTGCCAAAAATGCAAACTATAAGGAGCCATCTTTGAATGTGTAAGTAATTTTCTATCGATATTCATTGACTCTATATGTATAAGTTTAACAGGATTTTAACCGTATTGTTTTTTAACAGTATCTAAATCTGCAAGAAATTTGGAACCTTCATTTTCGAAAGTTCAAATCTACAGTAAAATGCCTGAGAAAAACATCTTTAATGAAACAAAAATACTAGGCTAAAATTTTTGTTGTCCAAAAAGTTTTACATCGCTGAATTTTGTTCCAACATATTAACTATGAAATCATGAGCTCTATTGTATGCCTATTAATATTCTGTGAAGCTATTCATGTTCCAAAATTTCTTGAAAACCAAAATTTAAAAAGTCTTATGTTAGGTTAGGTTAGGTCCATATTTATGAAGTATATATGGAATACCAAGAAATTCGGTGCCAACTAAAATTCGATGTTATTGATATAATGTTCTTTATGACTTCCTTAGTATGATGAGCTTTCAAAATCGAAATCTCTGTGTGCCAACCTTGTGAAAAGTAGGGCTGCAAAGTAAATTTTTCGGCCTTCTTACCAGCAATTTCTGTTTGAGATGTGAGACTTTTGCTATGTTTGCTTGGACGCTGCTATCATTTGGAGGATTTTGATTCTTTTTCTTTGTCTTATCTTCCTGGCTTGTGAGGGGACATAAGCTCTGCTTGACCGCCAATAACATGTGGCAACCATCGTGAGGTCCCCTTTTTCAATATGATGCTACATACATTTTATTTGCTGTGATGGATAGTAATGCTGTGAGAGCAATTTTCAATATTAGTTGCGCATGCACATCCTAAGATTGCACTGTGCATAAGAGCAGTTCTGTGGGACGCTGCCGCAGCCCTCATTATGCACGTTGTGCAAACATGGAATCCCCTGTAACTCTGTTGTTTTTCATTCAACTTTTATTCCTTTCTCTCCAATTTTCAAAAGAATGCTCTGAACCAATGCCGTTACATTACAGCAACTAAAAATAAACTCGTGTTATTCATATTCATTCCTACTTGACCTGAGTTATCTTGGAAAGATAAGTCTGAACAAAACTGAAGGAATTTCAATTAATTGCAATATTTCAAGATAAGTTGTTGTTATTTGGAGTGAATGGTAATTCCCCCCGTCCCAAAAAAAAAAAAAAAAAAATATTTCATCAATTTGGGTTTTAGCCACTGTCAATTACGGTATTTGTTTTCGATACTATTTACATTTTTTCCTTTACAATATTATGGAAATGCCGCTGTTCAGAATCTATGAATTTGAAATTTTTTTTTAAGAATTGTAATTTTTGTTATTTTATTATTCTGTATTTGATTTAACTCAAGCAAATACCTTTTTTCTGTTTCAGGAAATTGCGCCGATAGCTTACTTAATTTATTTCTTTATTTTTATATTTTATTTTTAATTCATATGTATATATTTTTAGTGTTAGGATAAGGATTTTAAAATTATAACCTACTTTTTATTGATCTGCTGACTCATGGCCTCCCATGAATCACCCAAGAAAAGCAGCACTAAGTCATCAGCAAATGATATGATTTTTAGATTAAATGTTTTTTGCTGCCCAACCTGCCCGCCGGCCCCACCGGAGACCCCCTTCCCACCCCCCACCCCCCCGGCCTGGGACGAGGACAGGGGAAATGGTTTTTAGATTATCATGGCTCAATCTACGAAGTCCTCCAGTATACATATAAAAGAAACAATATTGGGCCAAGGGCCGAGCCCTGCGGTACATCCCATTTTAGATCTAATTTCCTGCTTATTTTTTCTTACTTAACAAATTGAGTTCTTTAAGTTAGATAGCTTGCAAATAGTGTGTGTGCCACTCCCCTTATGCCGATTTTTTCAAACTTTTTCATGGGGGACCGAGTCAAAAGCTTTTGTTAAATCCAGGAAAATTGCTGCACATTTTTTCTTTTCTTCCAGTTTAGTTGTTGTGTTCCTTATTAATTCGGACATTGCTTGTGATGTATTTTTACCTTCTTGGAAATCATATTGATTATTTGATATTAAATTATGTTTATTGATGAAGGCCATAAGTCTATTTTTAGTGGCCGTTTCAACAATTTTTGAAATATTTGATAAGACTGAAATAGGTCTGTAATTTTCTGGTTCTAAGAAAATACACCGTACAAGAAGGACAAATTAATGATAAAAGCTATTGGGAGGGATAACCATTTGTCACACTTTTTTAGCACTTCCATGGAAATTTCGTCCTCTCCTTGTGCATAGATTTTTTTAGTCCCTTGATAATGTTCATGACTTCATAATGATCAATAGGGTTAAGGAAAAAAGAAGCAGATGGTCTACATTTATTCGAATCCTTCACTTTAGTTGTTTTTTTACCATCCCTAGCCCTGTGGGCTCTTTGAATTTTTTGTGCATTCATTTCCCCAACAGTAGCAAAATAATTATTCAAGGTCTCAGCTGATATAGCATCACTTTTTGGTGCGTCATTTTTTACTTTTCCACCTAGTTTGTTTATAATTTTCCAAAAAAATTTCGCATCCATATCTACTTCTTCCAATTTTTTTTTATAAAACTTGTCCTTTCTCAATCTCAGTAGCTTAGCCACTAAGTTCCTGAAGTAAACATACTTATGTATTAGTTCAGGGTCCTCTTTTTGTTCGACCCAAATTTTATACAACTTATTTCTAGTCCTTAAACTATTTAAGATGCCTGAGGTCATCCACGGTTTGAGGCATATAGACTTGTTGGAGGTTTGAACCATGTGACTGCATTCACAAATGGTTGCATTTGGTGAAGAATATAATGCTTGCATTGCTTTTTCTACATTAGTTACAACATTCTGCCAATTCATATTACTCAGCCTTCTTTCCATTTGTAGCCAGTTGATTTTTAATTTGGTTTTAAGTGCTTTTGTCCTATCTCTTTTCTTTTTGTTTGTACTACCGGCTTCTATTTCACACGTTACAGGAAAATGATCAGAAATATCATGCCTCAGAACCTTAGCATTAATGGTCCACATCATCGAGTTTTTGACATGTATGTGATCCAAGCATGAGTCTTTTCCACTGATCAGATTTGGTCTAGTAACTTTATTTATCAAGGTACTGTAGTCATTATTAATGAGTACTTCACAATATTCTCTAACCCTATCGTTAGGGTGCAGTAGGTCAAGGTTGAAATCTCCAACAAGCACATGCATTGATGTTATAGTTGATAGATACTCCTCAAACCATTGGAGGAACAATTGGATTGCATTTTGCAAAAAGGAACCAAGAGCATTCCAATGTTGCTAAGATTGTGTATCTTATATTAATTCAATCAAATTACTGAAATCATGCAAAAAAATAAATTTACAAAGGTAATTTTCGTCTTCAAGTTATAATTTAATGGGAGTAAAGAAAATATTAGTTTAGATAATGTGTGTATATTTGCAAGGCAAACAAAGTTGCACAATCTTAGCAACATTGGAATGCTCTTGGTTCCTTTTAGTGTATTTTCCGAAGGAAAGACACTCTATTTGCAAAATGCAATCCAATTCTTCTTCATCAATAGATGGTGACCTGTATATTCCTATTACAATAAGATCATTTTGTTATCACATTTAATTTCTATGGCCAGGCCAGTGCAGCCAACAAATTTAGTTTCTATTAATTCATAGGACAATTATTTTTTAACACACATAGTGACACCATCCGCTCTGTTTCAGAGCTCTGAAACAAGAACAGCCCTGTATCCCTCTAGGTTCAGTAGATGAGTTTTATCCTCATGGAACCAACATTCCGTGCATACCACTAATTCATATTTTTTATCAATAGTAGCAAGATTTGCCTCTAGTTCCTCTAGCTTTTTGGTCGAGAGTGACCTAATATTACAATGGAATATATTCATAATAATATAAGGACCATTACAACAATGCGATTTCTGAAAATTAAATGATTTTTTAAACTGTTTTTGATAAGATTAAATTTGAACTGTACTCTGTATTTGCAGTAAGGCCATTTTACTTATTTTTCTTCTTAATGAAAGTAGAAACAGAACCGAATTTATGTAAAACAAAGGAATGAAACCTAGCTTTTATAAGTCCTCTTTCCCTTATTAGTTAATACTATGAGATCAATTACGACTTATATGAACTTTATTTTAACTTTTACTTGAGATTATAAACTTTGAAAATGAAGATGAACGAGAAATGAGTCGCATAATAAACTCAAACTTTCAAATTACCTTGATATTTACACAAAAGGACAAATTTGTTTCGGGAGCCTAACTGCTCCCATCTTCAGCAGGTGACAACTGAGGCTCTTGCAGCGCACCCTTCTTCAGATTCCGAAACGAGGACAGAGAGTAGTAGATCGTCCAGCCCTTCAAGATCCTCATTCATCAATCTAGCTCTCCTCTTGAAAATGAAAATTTTCTGTTGCATTGGCAAATCAATTGGACGAATAACTTCTTTTAAAAGCACAGGTTCTTTCTTGATCCTATGAGACTCTTCACAACAATGTTTTGCGACTGATGACTTGTCAACTTCTTCATTATTTATATTTCTAAGATGTTCCTTGGCTCTAGTGGTGATATTTCTCCTTGTCAAACTAAAGTAAACTTTATCACAATCTTGACATTCCATTTGATAAATGCCTGATTTCTTCAAATTAGGATTTTTATCCTTTAGATCTCCATGGAAGAAAGATTTGATGTTAAACTTATTAACTGGTGCCACATCTAAATTGAATGTACATTGTAAATTTTCTTGAACTTCTGGAAAAGTTTTGAATGGAATGTCAATGGTACGAAAGGTTTAACTTCTTCAAGCTTCTCTAACGTTGTGATCTGCTTTTTGTAGTTAATGAGTTAGTGATGAAATAGTGACTACATCTTAAATAAGTAAATCACCATAGACCGCTACACCAAGCCTGAACTAAAAATAAAATAATGTCTCCTGTTTTAACCTCCTCCATCATGTTTCTCCATATGTATAACTAGGGGGAATATGCCAGTGATTGTTTTCCAGGAGAAAAATTCTGGAGAAACTGGGGGAAAACTGATGGGAAATCATCAGAGAATCACTGGGGAAACTGATGTAGGTATCCGCTGTGTTTTAGGACGGATTTTGGGAGAAAACATATGTATTTACCAAGTTTAACCCCAGTTTTTCTCCCGTATAACATACGGAAAGCAGGAGTCTAACTTGTTTAAAACTGGGGTTGATGTTCAGCCCTAGTTTTTCCTCTGAATAACAGAGGAAAAACGTAAGTTAAACTTCTGTCAAACTGGGGGTGATGTTTAACCCTAGTCTTTCTTCTGTATAAATACATCAGTTTCCCCAGTGATTTCCCCATGTTTTCCCATCAGTTTTCCCCCACTTCCTCCAGAATTTTTCTCCTGGACAACGTCAGTCGTTGCTGGTTGTGGAAGAAAAACTAGGGTTAAACATCACCCCCAGTTTGACAGAAGTTTAACTCAAGTTTTTCCTCTGTTATTCAGAAGAAAAACTAGGGTTAAGCATCAACCCCAGTTTTAAAAAAGTTAAACTCCTATTTTCCAACTGTTTTAAGAGAGAAAAACCGGGGCTAAACTTAGATAATACATGTGTTTTTCCCCGAAAATCCGTCCCACAACAAATTTTTCTCCTGGAAAACGTCAGTCGTTGCAGGTTGGGTACCTGCTGACACCTGCTGCTGATATCAGCGTTTTGAAAGAAGAAGCAAAGTTGATACAATTCCTTTGTATAAAATTTTACTACCCAGGCTCCTATATACTGCATTTATCTAAGCCTTAGAAATCGAACTGTAAAATTTTTGTTAAGTACCTACATTTTTATAAGTGTGTTTGTATTTTATGTAAAAATACTGTGTAAATTAGTGTATAATTGTGAGGTGTCTTGTCCAAAGTCAACTGAATACATATTTCTTGTAGATTGTTGTTAACATATGTACCAATAAAAAAAGAATATGTATAACTATTAAACATCGTTAAGTTGAGCCTTTGTCCTAATTCCACCTTACTCCTTACTAAAAAAGACTGTGAACAAGGAATAGAATAAATCTGCAACATTTACAACCTGAACACTTGGCCTATTGAATATTTAAAGTATAGAATTCCGATCCACGAAAGTTTACCCTTTCTATCTGCCCAGGCATTTAGACAGTACCTAATATTTTTTTTACCAACACAAATAGATGTAGAGGGTAATCTTATCCATAACAGCAGGGCGAGCTGTTAGGACTAGTGCACCTATCACTCAATAAGGGGAAAGGGATCTAGAGATGCTTGCATAAGAGAAAAACAAAAATGGTGATGGTTACTAGACTATCTAGCTGTTAACATTCTCCTGGAAATCTAGTGGCTTGCATCAGATTCACGGCGAAGTAGGTAAACAGATCATGGTAGTTGGTGTATCTGGATCATAGATCTATCGGATGCCCGGTTCACACTTTCCAACCAATTGAGGGGGGTTGGGGGGCTAAAATTATTTTTCTTTTATCTAGGGGTCGATTTACCAGATGTTAGCACCCTTAAACGCAATTACTTATTTTAAGCCATTCTAACGATAGTGTACTGGTCGTTTGGATCACCTTGTACATGGGCCATGGAGTTCAACGAAATGCCCTCTTTTCTCTCTCTTACACCCCTCGAATTTCTACCGGACCGGTGTTTTTAGCCTTTTGGCTCATAGGATAATGGGAAACTTTGTTAGTTTGCCTGATCCCCTCACCCCCTTCCCCATTTCGCCGGGCACCCACACCCACCTCTGCTCTGATCTACACCCCCCCCCCCC